CAGTTGCACAAATTCATAACAATCAATAAAATAAGATTTAAAGAAGTTAAAAACTTGTCCTCGGAGGCCAACCAAGTCTTCCAGTCTCTTAATGAGCACGGTGTAATCCCTGCAGAGATTTTTAAAGAATGAGACCAGAGACACGGTCAGAGGACAGCAGTAGTTTCATTGCTACGACATGTTCTAAATCCAGATTGGAGGGTTTCTAATGTGCTATTTCGAATCTGGGAAAGAAGTAAGCTGCTGAGCAACTGCTTTCTCTAAAATCTTTGAAAGAGAGGCCTATCAGGAGTGGACTGTACTAATTAGTGCTCCTTCCATGATCAGCCACCTCAATAAAAGGATGGTGATTTATTCTTACTGCAGTGAAATCAACTTGGTCTCCTTATTTCCCACAGCTACCATTATTATAGTAGTATTACTGTCTGTGATAAGATACTCTGCCTATCAATTTGTCTTTGTAATAAGATCTCAATTATAGGTGGATGGTTTCTGCTAGTTTTGAATGGTTTCTCATATAATTTCACTGCACTCTGTTCTGGCTCAGCAGGCTACTTATAACGGCTTCCAATGTAATCCTCTTCTTCAGACCCCTACATGCACACACATGCAGACACACACATTCATTCATTCGACACCCGCTGTCATTTAACCATCACTCATATACGTATCAGTGTGAGAGCACAGCCCACAGACAATGTCAAAATATGAACGATAAAGACAATCATATTTGTCCAGAATCAAACTAAGTCGAATGAGATTCACAGAACCACGTCATCGGCGCCCAGGGAGCAGTTGTTGTTGGGAGATGATGGAGATTGTAGAACTAAATATTGCTTGGGGGAGTAAGGTATAATCTGGATTTTTATGTCACGTAATTAGACTACGTGTTTGGAATGCTAGTTCTCTACCTGTGGATTTCTGTATAGAAGAATGCCTGCGACGAGTCAAGTCTGTATACATGTGTAAAGCATGTGTTGCAGTCACAGTAAACACAGTTTATTGTTGTTGGCCAGGATGGTAAGACTTTGACGACAACATACAGTAGATATTGCAAAGATCTCCTTACACAGAAAGCGGCACAGGTCCTAATCCAGGCACTTGTCATCTCCCGTCTGGATTACTGCAACTCGCTGTTGGCTGGGCTCCCTGCCTGTGCCATTAAACCCCTACAACTTATCCAGAACGCTGCAGCCCGTCTGGTGTTCAACCTTCCCAAGTTCTCTCATGTCACCCCGCTCCTCCGCACACTCCACTGGCTTCCAGTTGAAGCTCGCATCTATTACAAGACCATGGTGCTTGCCTACGGAGCTGTGAGGGGAACGGCACCTCCTTACCTTCAGGCTCTGATCAGACCCTACATCCAAACGAGGGCACTATGTTCATCCACCTCTGGCCTGCTAGCCCTCCTACCTCTACGGAAGCACAGTTCCCGCTCAGCCCAGTCAAAGCTATTCGCTGCTCTGGCACCCCAATGGTAGAACAAGCTCCCCCACGACGCCAGGACAGCGGAGTCACTGACCACCTTCCGGAGACACTTGAAACCCTACCTCTTTAAGGAATACCTGGAATAGTTAAAAGTAATCCTTCTACCCCTCCCCCACCATAAAAAAAAATGACGTAAATGCTACTGTGCTGTGTACAGTTTCCTATATGAGACCAAGGTTAGCTAACGAAATTAGAGGTTCTACAGTCGAAGTCGGAAGTTTACATACACCTTAGCCAAATACATTTAAACTCAGTTTTTCACAATTCCTGACATTTAATCCCAGTAAAAATTCCCTGTTTTAGGTCAGTTAGGATCATCACTTTATTTTAAGAATGTGAAATGTCAGAATAATAGTAGAGAGAATGATTTATTTCAGCTTTTATTTCTTTCATCACATTCCCAGTGGGTCAGAAGTTTACATACACTCAATTAGTATTTGGTAGCATTGTCTTTACATTGTTTAACTTGGGTCAAACGTTTCGGGTAGCCTTCCACAAGCTTCCCACAATAAGTTGGGTGAATTTTGGCCCATTCCTCCTGACAGAGCTGGTGTAACTGAGTCAGGTTTGTAGGCCTCCTTGCTCGCACATGCTTTTTCACTTCTGCCCACACATTTTCTATAGGATTGAGGTCAGGGCTTTGTGATGGCCACTCCAATACCTTGACTTTGTTGTCCTTAAGCCATTTTGCCACAACTTTGGAAGTATGCTTGGGGTCATTGTCCATTTGGAAGACCCATTTGCAACCAAGCTTTAACTTTCTGACGGATGTCTTGAGATGTTACTTCAATATATCCACATAATTTTCCATCCTCATGATGCCATCTATTTTGTGAAGTGCACCAGTCCCTCCTGCAGCAATGCACCCCCACAGCATGATGCTGCCACCCCCGTGCTTCACGGTTGGGATGGTGTTCTTCGGCTTGCAAGCTGCCCCATTTTTCCTCCAAACATAACGATGGTCATTATGGCCAAACAGTTCTATTTTTGTTTCATCAGACCAGAGGACATTTCTCCAAAAAATATCTTTGTCCCTATGTGCAGTTGCAAACCGTAGTCTGGCTATTTTATGGTGGTTTTGGAGCAGTTGCTTCTTCCTTGCTGAGCGGCCTTTCAGGTTATGTCGATATAGGACTTGTTTTACTGTGGATATAGATACTTTTGTACCTGTTTCCTCCAGCATCTTCACAAGGTCCTTTGCTGTTGTTCTGGGATTGATTTGCACTTTTCGCACCAAAGTACGTTCATCTCTAGGAGACAGAACGCGTCTCCTTCCTGAGCGGTATGATGGCTGCGTGGTACCATGGTGTTTATACTTGCGTACTATTGTTTGTAAAGATGAACATGGTACCTTCAGGCATTTGGAAATTGCTCCCAAGGATGAACAGGACTTGTGGAGGTCTACAATGTTTTTTCTGAAGTCTTGGCTGATTTCTTTTTGATTTTCCCATGATGTCAAGCAAAGAGGCACTGAGTTTGAAGGTAGGCCTTGAAATACATCCACAGGTACACCTCCAATTGACTCAAATTATCTCAGTTAGCCTATCAGAAGCTTCTAAAGCCATGACATCATTTTCTGGAATTTTCCAAGCTGTTTAAAGGCACAGTCAACTTAATGTATGTAAACTTCTGACTCACTGGAATTGTGATACAGTGAATTATAAGTGAAATAATCTGTCTATCAACAATTGTTGGAAATATTACTTGTGTCATGCTCAAAGTAGATGTCCTAACCGACTTGCCAAATCTATAGTTTGTTAACAAGAAATTTGTGGAGTGGTTGAAAAACGAGTTTTAATGACTCCAACCTAAGTGTATGTAAACTTCCGACTTCAACTGTATATGGTGACGTCATTGTCAGAGCCATTTTGTGTGTTGAAAGAAAATGTACAGAACTTATTTTGGTTTATTTCCAAAATACTTATTATAGGATAGAAACTCTATGAAATGTACTTATTGTTGTTAGGAAACGTAGCTTTATACTGCATATGGAAAGCCTTTTATAGTTGCTAATGTGAAACCAAGTGGACGCATGTGGGTTTGCTAGGAGGAGTAGCATAAAGGCTTATGTGTAACATGGATAGTTAGTTTAACTCTAATTAGGCCAGGTTATTGTACCTGATATAGGAAGACGCCGTGCAGAGTTCCAGTTTTCTACTGTTTCATTTGGATTTAATTTGCCTGCTGCACTTTGGGATTGTACTTTGGGATTTTACCTTTTTACCATTAATATCACATGGAACCTGTCAAACCCTATCTGGATTACAATGCTTTATTTGACCACTTATCAACTTTGAATATGTGTGACAAAAAACAGACATTTATCAGCAACCTCTCATCTCATTGATGGAAACATGTATGGAACCAACCTGTATTTTGGTGTCTATAGAAGGCTTTTAGAATCTAGGAACCTTAGCCACTGCAGTCATCATTAGTGTGGGATGTCATCATTAGTGTGGTGCTGTCATCATTAGTGTGGTAAAGCCATCATTAGCAGTGCTTTAATGTAGTGATGTCATGATTAGTGTGATTAGTGTGGTGATGTCATCATTGATGTGGTGATAGTCCCGTGTAGCTCAGTTGGTAGAGCATGGCGCTTGCAATGCCAGGGTTGTGGGTTCGATTCACACGGGGGGGCAGTAGGAAAATGTATGCACTCACTAACTGTAAGTCGCTCTGGATAAGAGCGTCTGCTAAATGACTAAAATGTAAACGTAAAAATGTGATGACATCATTAGTGTGGGGATGTCATTTTTAGTGTGGTGATGTCATAATTAGTGGCTGTGGTGTGGTGAGGATATCATTAGTGTGGTAATGTCATTGTTAGTGTGGTGGTGTCATCATTAGTGGTTGTAGTGTAGTGATGTCTTTATTTGCAGTGCTCCCATGTCTCTGTCTCTCTCTCTCTACCTGTCACTATGACACGTCTCCTGTCTCCTGTCACTCTCCTGCCATGCCGACCGCTCGGATACTTGACAGACTGATGCTGGACGCCTGATGTGTGTTGACAGCCGTGTGTGTTTGTGTCTGTGCCTGTCTCTGTGTGTCTCTCTCTGTGTGTGTGTGTGTGTGTGTGTGTAGCTGTGCTAACTAAAATGTGTCAGTCTCTAGCCCATCACAGCAAAGGCCAATTATTTCCAGTAATTGTGTTGCTTGGACCTTGAAACCATGTTAAGCATATTTAACACACACAGTCTAATTGTCTTTAATGAAATACACTCTTCTCTCTCCCCCCACTCTGATCCCTCCCTCTCTCCCACTCTTCTCACTCTCATCCCCTTTCTCTCTTCCCACACTCCTCTCTTGTTCCCTCTCTCTCTCCTCACTTCTCTCTCTCATTCTCCCTCTCTCCTCCTGTACTACCCACCCCCCACTCTCTCACCCCCTTCCCATTCTCCCCACTCTTCTCTTTCATCACCTCTCTCACCCCCTCCCTCCCCTCCCCTTCCCTCCTCCCTCCCTCCCTTTCCCTCCCCCATCATCCCCCTCTCCCCCCTCCCTCTCTCTTTCAGCTCTATGACGGTGCGTAAAGGAAAGAAACTCAGCATCACCATCCAGGAACACATGGCCATTGACGTCTGCCCCGGCCCCATCCGACCTATCAGAACAATCTCCGCCTACTTCCCCCGCCTGTCCCCCACCTCTGAGCCCCTCTCCCCCAACCCCACTGGCTCCCCATTGGTCCTCAGTCCTGGGGGCGCGGCCTGCGGGATGGGGGGTGGCGGCGGGGGCGGGCTCTTGACGCCATTGCTGCCGGGGATGATGGGAGGGGGCGGGTCTTTGTCGTTACAGAGCAGTATGGACACGTCTGTGGAGATCAACAGTTCTGACAGTGACGACTGCAGTGAGTCCAGATGTTGGCGTGTTGATGAGTGTGTTTGTGTGTGGGTCGCGTGTGTGTGTGTGTGTGTGTGTGTGCACTTAAAAGTGTATATGTGTGTGCATGAATTAATGTTGGTGTCTATCTATCCCACCCACTCGATTTTATATGGTTGGCAAGGTTGACACGTGATGTGCTTTCCTCTTATTCATTTGACAAGTTTGAGTTAATGTGATTTACATCCCATTTAAATGCATAGTGTTTCATTGATGTACTCTGTTGTGACATCTATATGTAATGTCTTTAGCATGTGTGTAATTTCAGAATGTGGAAGTCAGTGTGCTGTCCTTTCCTTACTGTCATTGGTTGGTTTCAAAGCCTTCTGTGAGTCCATTCTGTGGCTGCCATTGTGACAGGTATGTTGCAATAGCCTGGTCCAAGATCGGGTTGTACTGTCTTGCCAACTCCTATGGTCATTGTCACATCAAACATGGCTGGAAATGATTGATTGATTGATTGATTGACGGAGTCACTGGTTCATTGATAAAGGTTCCAAACTTTTGCTGCCGAGTTGTGTTATTTATGTGACTCCCTCACCCATTCGGTCATTGATATGGGGGTTTTCACAAGTGCAGGAGATGTAGGGGTGATGTGATGGTGTTTGTTTCTAACCATGCTTCTGGTTTTTAACCATGCCAATGATTGTCTCCTATACAGCTTCTTTGGGAACACTGGAGTTTGACTTGCGGTACGAGCGAGCCTCCAGTAAGCTACACTGTACTATCCTCAGGGCTAAGGTAACCTCACAGATACTGTTCACTCACTTCCTATCTGCTCTTCAGCCCAATCCCAAATTGAGCCCTAGACCCTGCGTCCTATGCACTTTTGGAGATCTGAGAGAATGTGACAGGTATAAGCTATATGTTAATAGCTCCATCTTGCCCTCTGATACCAATCAAATCCTCTCAGATCTCCAGAAGTGCATAGGGCACAGGGTCGATTTGGGATTGGGCCGCTCCAGCATCCATCCACTTACCCTGCCATCATACATTTGCGGAATTTCTTCATTCCATTCCTGAAAAAGAGGGTCTAGTAAAGTAAATGAATGAAGGCAGTCATAGGGGAGCATTAATGGGATAGTTCACCCTAAAATATGCAGGCCTCAATCATCCCAAATGAAAGGGAAAGATAAGCACCATCTAATTCCAACTAATTAGACTCAGTTTGACTTCTGACTAACTTTGATGTGGAATTGAATGATCCCTTTTACGTTAATGAGTTTCTGTTTTCAGAATATAATGTTGAAAACAAAGACAGGGGCATTGCTAGGGTGAAACTATATAGTGCACTTCTTTTGACCAGGGCCCATAAGGCTCTGGTCAGAAGTAGTGCACCAAATAGGGAATAGGCTGCCATTTTAGAAGCAGCCTTCATGTTTGCCACTTTGTTAAGCCTCTCTTTTTCTTTCTTTCTTTCTCTCGTTCTCTGTTTTCTTGTCTGCCTTTCCTCTGTTCAGGGTCTGAAGCCTATGGATTTTAACGGCTTAGCAGACCCCTATGTCAAACTGCACCTTCTTCCCGGGGCCTGCAAGGTGAGTCCTGTACAGTAATTATGGGATCTAATACTGATACAGGTTCAGTTAGGTTGTCTTCCCCTCTAATGTGTTAGAATGGAATTGAGTGTAGGGTAATCTGATTTAGATCTGTGGCTAGCACAACTTCTTTGTTTGTGTGTGACTGTAGAGGACCAAACAGTGAATTCCATCAATGTCTCTGAACTCTATTGATGTCTTTGGTTGACAGAATACTGTTTCCTTTCCTCTCTTTTTCTCTTTCCTTTATTTATTATACTCCCTCCCTCCCTCCCTCTCTCTTAACCCTGCATCTCTCTCTCTATTCACTGTCTTTCTTTTTCAGGCTAACAAGTTGAAGACAAAGATAGTGCGGAATACTCTGAATCCGGTGTGGAATGAAACGCTTACCTATGTTGGGATCACAGAGGAGGACATGCATAGAAAGACACTCAGGTGTGTGTGTGTGTGTGTGTGTGCGTGCGTGTGTGTGCGTGTGTGTGCGTGTGTGTGTGTGTGTGTGTGTGTGTGTGTGTGTGCGTGCATGCATGCATACATTTCAGTTGTATGTACAGACTGAGATATGTTCTGGGATTCATCTGATAGCATTAAGGAGTTTACCACAACAGTCAAGGGCTTCGTCAATAAGTGCATAAACAATGTCATCGAGAGGCTAGAGTTACCGCTCACAAGGAATGGGAAACGGACATTGACGCATACAAGAAAGTGCGCTACGACCTCCGACGAGACATCAAAGATGCAAAAGGACAATATAGGAGGAAAGTGGAATCCTATTACACCATCTCCGACGCTCGTCGTATGTGGCAGGGCTTGCAGACGATAACGGATTACAAAGTGAAACACAGCCATGAGTTGCCCAGCGATGCAGAACTCCCAAATGAGCTAAATGCCTTTTATGCTCGTTTCGAGGAATATAACACTGTGCCTTGCATGAAAGCCCCTGTTTTTCCAGATGTCTGTGTGATCTCGCTCCCGGTGGCTGCCCCCCTCTCCATGATGTCACACCAATGAAATGGGCTTAATAACAATAACTTTGATTTTCTCTTGTCAGACCAATAAATAAATACGTCAGGATTATGCTGTCCCAGTTTATATGATGTCCCTCTCTTTCCGAATTCACCTTAAATAATATATATATATATATATATACAGTGGGGAGAACAAGTATTTGATACACTGCCGATTTTGCAGGTTTTCCTACTTACAAAGCATGTAGAGGTCTGTAATTTTTATCATAGGTACAGTTCAACTGTGAGAGACAGAATCTAAAACAAAAATCCAGAAAATCACATTGTATGATTTTTAAGTAATTCATTTGCATTTTATTGCATGACATAAGCATTTGATACATCAGAAAAGCAGAACTTAATATTTGGTACAGAAACCTTTGTTTGCAATTACAGAGATCATACGTTTCCTGTAGGTCTTGACCAGGTTTGCACACACTGCAGCAGGGATTTTGGCCCACTCCTCCATACAGACCTTCTCCAGATCCTTCAGGTTTCGGGGCTGTCGCTGGGCAATACGGACTTTCAGCTCCCTCCAAAGATTTTCTATTGGGTTCAGGTCTGGAGACTGGCCAGGCCACTCCAGGACCTTGAGATGCTTCTTACGGAGCCACTCCTTAGTTGCCCTGGCTGTGTGTTTTGAGTCGTTGTCATGCTGGAAGACCCAGCCACGACCCATCTTCAATGTTCTTACTGAGGGAAGGAGGTTGTTGGCCAAGATCTCGTGATACATGGCCCCATCCATCCTCCCCTCAATACGGTGCAGTCGTCCTGTCCCCTTTGCAGAAAAGCATCCCCAAAGAATGATGTTTCCACCTCCATGCTTCACGGTTGGGATGGTGTTCTTGGGGTTGTACTCATCCTTCTTCTTCCTCCAAACACGGTGAGTGGAGTTTAGACCAAAAAGCTCTATTTTTGTCTCATCAGACCACATGACCTTCTCCCATTCCTCCTCTGGATCATCCAGATGGTCATTGGCAAACTTCAGACGGGCCTGGACATGCGCTGGCTTGAGCAGGGGGACCTTGCGTGCGCTGCAGGATTTTAATCCATGATGGCGTAGTGTGTTACTAATGGTTTTCTTTGAGACTGTGGTCCCAGCTCTCTTCAGGTCATTGACCAGGTCCTGCCATGTAGTTCTGGGCTGATCCCTCACCTTCCTCATGATCATTGATGCCCCACGAGGTGAGATCTTGCATGGAGCCCCAGACCGAGGGTGATTGACCGTCATCTTGAACTTCTTCCATTTTCTAATAATTGCGCCAACAGTTGTTGCCTTCTCACCAAGCTGCTTGCCTATTGTCCTATAGCCCATCCCAGCCTTGTGCAGGTCTACAATTGTATCCCTGATGTCCTTACACAGCTCTCTGGTCTTGGCCATTGTGGAGAGGTTGGAGTCTGTTTGATTGAGTGTGTGGACAGGTGTCTTTTATACAGGTAACGAGTTCAAACAGGTGCAGCTAATACAGGTAATCAGTGGAGAACAGGAGGGCTTCTTAAAGAAAAACTAACAGGTCTGTGAGAGCCGGAATTCTTACTGGTTGGTAGGTGATCAAATACTTATGTCATGCAATAAAATGCAAATTAATTACTTAAAAATCATAGAATGTGATTTTCTGGATTTTTGTTTTAGATTCCGTCTCTCACAGTTGAAGTGTACCTATGATAAAAATGACAGACCTCTACATGCTTTGTAAGTAGGAAAACCTGTAAAATCGGCAGTGTATCAAATACTTCTTCTCCCCACTGTGTGTATATATATATATATATATATACAGTGGGGAAAAAAAGTATTTAGTCAGCCACCAATTGTGCAAGTTCTCCCACTTAAAAAGATGAGAGAGGCCTGTAATTTTCATCATAGGTACACGTCAACTATGACAGACAAATTGAGGGAAAAAAATCCAGAAAATCACATTATAGGATTTTTTATGAATTTATTTGCAAATTATGGTGGAAAATAAGTATTTGGTCACCTACAAACAAGCAAGATTTCTGGCTCTCACAGACCTGTAACTTCTTCTTTCAGAGGCTCCTCTGTCCTCCACTCGTTACCTGTATTAATGGCACCTGTTTGAACTTGTTATCAGTATAAAATACACCTGTCCACAACCTCAAACAGTCACACTCCAAACTTCACAATGGCCAAGAACAAAGAGCTGTCAAAGGACACCAAAAACAAAATTGTAGACCTGCACCAGGCTGGGAAGACTGAATCTGCAATAGGTAAGCAGCTTGGTTTGAAGAAATCAACTGTGGGAGCAATTATTAGGAAATGGAAGACATACAAGACCACTGATAATCTCCCTCGATCTGGGGCTCCACGCAAGATCTCACCCCGTGGGGTCAAAATGATCACAAGAACGGTGAGCAAAAATCCCAGAACCACACGGGGGGACCTAGTGAATGACCTGCAGAGAGCTGGGACCAAAGTAACAAAGCCAACCATCAGTAACACACTACGCCGCCAGGGACTCAAATCCTGCAGTGCGAGACGTGTCCCCCTGCTTAAGCCAGTACATGTCCAGGCCCGTCTGAAGTGCATTTGGATGATCCAGAAGAGGATTGGGAGAATGTCATATGGTCAGATGAAACCAAAATATAACTTTTTGGTAAAAACTCAACTCGTCATGTTTGGAGGACAAAGAATGCTGAGTTGCATCCAAAGAACACCATACCTACTGTGAAGCATGGGGTTGGAAACATCATGCTTTGGGGCTGTTTTTCTGCAAAGGGACCAGGACGACTGATCCGTGTAAAGGAAAGAATGAATGGGGCCATGTATCGTGAGATTTTGAGTGAAACCCTCCTTCCATCAGCAAGGGCATTGAAGATGAAACTTGGCTGGGTCTTTCAGCATGACAATGATCCCAAACACACCGCCCGGGCAACGAAGGAGTGGCTTCGTAAGAAGCATTTCAAGGTCCTGGAGTGGCCTAGCCAGTCTCCAGATCTCAACCCCATAGAAAATCTTTGTAGGGAGTTGAAAGTCTGTGTTGCCCAGCGACAGCCCCAAAACATCACTGCTCTAGAGGATATCTGCATGGAGGAATGGGCCAAAATACCAGCAACAGTGTGTGAAAACCTTGTGAAGACTTACAGAAAACGTTTGACCTGTGTCATTGCCAACAAAGGGTATATAACAAAGTATTGAGAAACTTTTGTTATTGACCAAATACTTATTTTCCACCATATGCCAATAAATTCATAAAAAATCCTACAATGTGATTTTCTGGATTTTTTTCCCTCATTTTGTCTGTCATAGTTGACGTGTACCTATGATGAAAATTACAGGCCTCTCTCATCTTTTTAAGTGGGAGAACTTGCACAATTGGTGGCTGACTAAATACTTTTTTTCCCCACTGTATATATATATATAGCTCAATAAAAGGAAAAGAGGAACACCTTTGGCAATGATAGGAAAGTGTTGGTGGTTAAAACACGAATATATAAACAAAGAAACACAACGTAAACACATTAACATTAAGCTCCGTGACCATACATATTTCACTTTTAAATTATCAAAATTATGTAGTGAAGGCAGTGTGTGTGTGTGTGTGTGTGTGTGTGTGCGCTTGCCTTATCTAGTAGGCAAGTGTTGTTTCTCTGAAAATACGTCTCTTCCTGTCAACAGCTTTGACAGTGGTTGCATCCCAAATGGCACCTTATTCCCCTTTATAGTACACTACTTTTGACCAGGGCCCATAGGGATCTGGTCAAAGGTAGTGCACTGAAGGAAGTAGGGTGCCATTTAGGATGCATGACAGTGTGTCGTATATATAGCCAGAATAATTCCACCCACCGCCCGTGGTAAAATCCTCTTGAATTTCGTTATGGCACTCTCAGAGCCACTCGGAGGCTTCTCCTGAGGAGACGAGCGGAACACTGCTGCACTCCGGTTCATCCCATGATTATCCACAGTAAATTACCTGTGTGTGCCCACAACACACTGCAAATTAGCCGTATCCCCGGGTCACACCTGATTCCGGGCCGACCTATAAAACTTTGCTGGGGTTGGGCCTTTTTTTCTGGTGTGAAAGTGAGAGTGAGAAAGTAATTTAGTGGTTTATCTCTCGGGCTCTGTGTGTGTGTATGTATGTGTTTGTGTTCACCTGCTTGTGTATACAAGCACATATATATGTGTGTGTGTGTGCATATTTTCAGGTATCGCAAATAGAGTGAGCACTGGTTTGAACCTGAGCAACACATTGCCCTTTGAACAGGCCCACCTCAAAGAGTTTCCAATTTCATTCTCATTCCATTCATAAATAATACATTTCACTCTGGGCTGATTCCTCTTCTGCATCAAACTGTCACACAGAGGTCCATCCCAGTCTGAACATTACCCCACCCGCCACCCTCTCGCTGTCGCTCTCGCTCTCGCTCTCTCTCCCTCACTCCTTCCCTCCTTCTGTCTGTTTCTGTC